ATATATATATATATATATATATCATTACCTCAAACCTTAAGAGGTTGGCTTTTGATTGAAAGAAAAAGAGTGATATCAAGCCCACGAGACTGAGACCAGAGATGAGCATACATAGTCATATGTACAATGTAATATTGTATTTTTATCTTTGTAGACTAAGGTGTTCGAAATGTCAGTGATGGACTAAACCTTAGTGAGTGTTGTAAACCTATGTATCCTCTCCATGAGAGTAACCCAAACATTCAAACATAAGTCTCTGTAAAACTAAGGTAGCGAACCTCAATGAATGTAGGAAATTTCCAATCCTCTTTGTGAGAGTTATGTATGCACTCAAACCAAAACTGTCCTGCCAACATAGTAAAGCCTGAAGAGGCTAGGAAAAGAAAACTTGTAAAGTCCGGAGGGCTTGTCAAAGAATACTTACTACTAGCCAAAAGTGGCTGAGAAGAATATACTAGCGTTGGTGAGTGAAGCCGACGGGTCAGGAGTGGTCGAGAATACTTGGAGAACCAGAAGTGGTTTAAGAATACTAGCATTGGTGAGTGAAGCTGACGGGCCAGGAGTGGTCGAGAATACTCAGATCCAAGAATGGACGATAATACTCAATGTTCTTCATTTCATATCTAGTGGAACCCTTCAAGTTGAAGGAGACTGGACGTAGCTCAATTGAGCAAACTAATATAAAATGATTGCCTTGTTTTTCTTGTTTAATCAGGAACAAATCTTATTTATTGATTAGATCTTGGTAAAAGACTTTGTCCAATATTTACATATCGTTAAAACCATTTCTCAGACGAAGATGCACATATATTAAATAGATCTATTACACTGAAAAGATTTATCAACTGCTTGTCTCTAAAACGAAATTATCTTAAAAAGGGAAATGTAAGAACTCCAACTATTATCTTTATGAAACATTTTCCCTAGCAGACGATAAACCCTTCAGAAGTATTGATCGTATGTTAAGAAAACTCTGTCTAATCGTCTGATATTTGAAAGTGTATTGGACGAAAAGGATTACACTTGCAAATTTTTTTTTAAAATTTTCTTCCTTCACACACACACATATTCAACCCCCCTTCTATGTGTTTTTCCGCTAACTTCAAAGAACATGAAGCCTAAAAATGTCGTTAAGGTCACCTCGGATGGATGACAACACAAAACTTAATATTTTGCACGCTTGAATGGAGATATAACTTATAACTCGCATAACTTAATCAATTCTTAACATTTTTACACAACTCTAGAGTCTAAATTATAGCCCAAAGTGTCTACTTTCTAACCAAATACACAGAAATTGATTTGGTTAATCATACAAAAAGATATTACAAAAACACTAAGGTACATTCATAAGTAAAATATATCAATTACTCATTAATTCATATAATTAAGGGTGCTCATCAATTTACAAGAACCTTAACTTATATAGCACATTCCAATGAATTCAATTATCATCTAGATCATCAATTTTACCAAACAATATAACAACCACATTTACAAATTAATATAAAACCCAATTGAATCATCAATTTAACAAAACAACATACCAATAAACAAAATCTCAATCCTTCATAAAGCCTAACCCAAGAGATATTTCAAGAGGATTGAATTATCAAACAGAATATCAATTTTCATCAAATAGTACCTAAATTATAACCATACATTGTCATAGAAATTAATTAAATTATCAAACTCATAAACAAAAATGAATTAGAAAATACTAAGAATTTCAAGGACTTCTCCCTCTACCCATTCCCTCCTATAACCACGCATATGAAACACTCTCTTTTTCCCTCGTACCTTGTGTCAATAGGAACAATTCTGACGTAGTTTGGGATTGCCCCTGAGCACTCCTCCTCAAAGTTTCTTTCTTCTCTTCTCTTTCTCTCCTAACCCTTTAGAGCGCAAAATGAAGCAAATAAGGTTAACTTCGCCTAACTCCTTTCTTAAAATAATCCACTGGGTCGGGGCAACCCAATCCATTTTACTTCTCTTCTTGATCTGCTTCTCTCTCTCTCTATATATATATATATGTATATATAATATAAAATACTTTTCTCCATATAATAATAAAAATATTTCTGACCAATAATTAAAAAATATTATCATCTAAGAAAAAACAAGGATGTTACAATCCCACCACCTTTTAAGAAATTCGTACCCAAATTATTGAATGAAAAAGTTCAGATATGATTCCATCTTCTCAAGGGTGTTACAATTAGAGATATAAATATATTTGATTTGTTTTAACGTATTTTGATTATATGTTATAATTTTGGTTAGCTAAGAAGTTTTATGGATAAGAATATTTTTAGATAAGGGAAATAAACATTTCTAGATTATTTTATTTGAAGAGATATGATCTTATGTATTTATCTATAAGATTTTTATTTAATTAATTAGGATAATAATATATTTTGAGAGATATTTAAGATATTTATTTATTTATCTATTTTTATCTATTATTTTCAAAGATATATTTGACACAAATAAAAATGATAATATTAAAGATAATCAATAATGAGTATGAAAATATGAGCTTAATTTATTTGTTGAACTTACTTGACCGGACATTACTTATCCATTAATTCTATATTCCTCGGATAACCTTATGAGCACCAACATCACAATAGTGTGGCCCTGTTGAACAAATAAAACACATTGTAATTCTAAAATAAAAATAAAAAAGTAGAACACATATATAAGCCAGTATAAAAAAAAATGCAATATGATTCCAAATAAAAGTCGCTCAAAAGACAATATTAAACCAATTATGTGTTTAGAACGTGCCATCCATCACACATTATTGATTTTTTTTTTTTTGTTTAGCTTATTGTAATAGAAGAGCTAACAACCAGTACCTGGTTTGAATTAAGGGATTGGATAATTGATTTGATTTGTTCTGTCATCTGCTCAAGTTCCCTTTCAATCAATTCAGATTGCTCATACCTGCAAATGAAGTTATTTGAAAAAAAGAAATGACAAAGCATCAGCATGAAGTTAAAGTAGAAAAGGAGTTGAAACAAAACCCTAGATCTGATTATTTTCATAAACTTGTAAAGTGGAAAACTTAAATTTATATGTAAAATCTTTATTTTTAGAGTATACAGTTAACGGTGACACAAATCTCTCCCTATTGTCAGGGAAACCCTCCAACCTCACTGAATCTACCAATAAAATTCCATCAATCAATCCCAAGTCACAATTGTCATGAGGAAAAGGCTGACTAAGTGAGCCAATCCTAGTTGGCAAAAACAATACAAGGTTTAATTTTAGCATGCAAGAAATGTTGAAATTAATCTACAAACTACTTAAATACTCTGAATTTAATTTTAGTATTGTTAAGGTGACTAAACCTTGAAATTATCCAAATAAAATTTTACAAAATACAATGTTAGTGTCTGATTGGGAAATGCAGATTGAATTCTGCAATTCCACCAGGGGCACTCCCTAAATAACACTGTAAGTATCATGAAGAATCTGTTCTAAATCCTTAATTCCTTATTATGTAGTAATTTATATTTCAGAAAACACCATGAAAGACCAATTTGTATTCGGTAATCAGTAGCACAAAAACAGTTGAAAGCTATCAATATATAAATGCAACTTGAATCAATTAACAGTCAGTAAAACAACAAAACCTGCCAAGTTAGTGATATATACTAACTATTATGAAGTGATTTTGATAATCAGACCATTAAATTAAAATTTATCATGTTGATCTTGCATGTCAAATTTCATAAAACTTAAAACTACAAAGCACATATGATCAAGCAGTTGATATTTTCATTCAATTGAAAATCATAGTAGACAGAAACTTATGAAAGTTTGTTGGAGTAGCAAGATGATGGGTCGTTATCATACATACTTGGTAGTTTTGCAGACACAGTTCATGTCTAGGGAGACGAGAGTAATATGATAATAAAGTAAAATATCATTCAACTGTCACAAAGGTCAAAATCACTTCACACTACACAAACCAGATTGAATTCAATATGGCAAAGATTGGGTTACAAACTTAAAAATATAAAATATATCAAATCAAACCATCAGTGAACCCATTCAGACAATAATCAGTCAAAAAGATATGATGATTCAAAACTTACATCGCATCTCTTGTAGATGCAGCTTCATCATCAAGAAGTAATCCACGCTCATCCTTGTAAATTCGTTCAGCTTCTTCCTCCATACTCTGTAATGCCTTATCAACCTAATACAGGGGTGACAATAAATAGCCTCTATCACAAGATGAAACTCATTTAACAAATGTTTTGTGAACTGGTTAATGCGTACATAATTGTGAAGATTTTGATGGTGAACATAAATTTTATATCTGATACTGGAAGGCCAAATTTTGATAGCCCATCATAAGAAAAGTTAAATGACATGATTATAATCAAATACCTTCATTAGATATTAAAATATAACCATAGTTGTCAAAATTGTGATTCAGATTGTCTAAATTTTCTGATTTTGGGTGTTGCTTCTGATTATTGGGTGTCCGGAAAATGCCATCCAGTGTTCATGCTGGTCCTAGTGCTTCTACTAGTTCTGGCAGTGCAAGTGTTATAGAAGAACATGTATATTATAACTAAATGTTGCAATTGTGATTTTATTCATTTTATGCCTTAAATAGAATTCTACATAACAGGTGTGGGATATTCCGTCCTAGTGTTATGATCTCACATTTAATGTTTCTTTCTCTCCTGTCTGATCCCAGCATAGGATCTACAATTTTGACAACCTTGTATAGAACTAACAAAATTTCTGAATCTTTCAATTTCAATTTTGAGTCACGTCCCTTAGGATTTTTTTTCTCTTTTCATTTCTAATCATAAATTAATGATATTGTTTCACTAGCAAACTGCCCGGGTTTTATTTAATTTGTGAGTAGCGGTGCAATTGAATTTAGCAACCGCTGCCAGCTTGTTGAGTCTGTAAAAACCTGAATTTATAACGTGATAAATTTTAGTTGCTTAATTTTCCAATGGTAACCATAAGGTTTAAAAAAGAATGTTTGCACTAGACACATGCCAACATAAAGGAACATGCTGTATGTGTTACATTTAGACTGAATTTAGGAAAAACACCATTTTTTTAAAAACGCTCAGTAAAATTCTGATTAAAAGTTGTTTTGAACACAAATAAGCTAAGGACAAGCATGATGTAAAGTGGACACTAATGGAATAGTATGTTACCATCAAAACAAAGTAGAGGTTATAGTTAGATCACAAGACACAAAACACTATAGAATACAAGCACAATATTATACGAACCTACCATAACAAAAAGAAATTATTTCCAAATAAATACATGAAGAAGAAGCTTGGATTAAAGTATTAAGAAATAAACTGATTTTCAAAATACCTCCTGTTGATGAGTCTCTATCAACTCCAATTGCCTCTCCAAATTTGATTGTGTCTCAACAACTTTTGCCACTTCAATCTAAAATTATAACATTGTTATAATAAGCTACAGAGTAAGAATTGCCAAAATTTAAGCCATTGCATGAAGAAAATAATTAAAAATGATTATCAATAGATGTAGAGAAACCTCAAGCCTCAATAAAACATCTCGATTGTGCAAAATCCTGCGATCCCATTCAGCTATTGCATTTGCTTGTTTTCTAAATTTTCCAGTTCGCTCTTGCAGCTCAGCATTCCACTCCTTGATAATCTACATAAGGTTATATGATTAGGATGGGGGTAGAGAGAAATAGAGGAATCAAGAATGTCTAATTCTAACATGGTAAATATTGTCAGTGTCAGAAATATCTGTTAGAATAGCTTATTAGAGTAGCCTTTGTATTCTGTTATTTCTTCTTTTGATATATGTCTGATGTGTGTCTTAGACTCCTAGGGTTTTACATACTTTATGTACTCAATGTTATATAAATAATGAAAAAGGAAAGAAGTGTGTAACACACACACTATTTTTCTCAAACCCTAATATTCAAGTTGGTATCAGAGCGGGTCCGATCCCGCTCT